TCATTTGATTCAAAGTTTAATTAAAAGTCTAGATCAATATATTTGTATCTAGATCTACTGCATAAACACCTTCATTCATATGTATATCTAAAATCATTTTTGTATACATAGACACCACGCTTTTTTTTCTTTTTTGTAAAGCAAGTAATGCCAATAATTAATATCATCCAAACAACTGCAAGTTCAAAATAACATCAATTCTTTATTTACTGTATATAACCTGAAACCACGATAAATTTACAACAGGTCACTGGTACAGGGCTAGTCCACAGGTGCAGCACAAGTGTTCTGTTACACATATAATTTCAATAACACACAGGTGTACCACAAATACAGCCCTTTCCAAATGCTGGCACACTGCCATTCCTCCATCTTCCCATCCTAAATGCTTTGTAGTCAATTTCATCAGAGACTGAAAATAAGACCCAAGTGTTTAATGTCCCAAGCTGAATCTTTTCCACATATAAAGCAATGCCTACCTGGGCCAGAATCCATTGCACAGGCGATACATTTTGAGGGACTGGGTACATGACACTCCCAACTTTAAGCCCTGGCACATGCCACACCAACAGGCACCAAGTGACCATGCAAGAGCACTCTGTAAGCAAGAAGAGCAATCATGCAATAGTAAAAGCAACTAACAGACATGCTACAAACATGCAAGATATGTAAATATGCTGTGGTACACAGTACACAAGTATGGAATATATGAAGAAAAGTGATTATACTGGAGGTCAAGAGCTAAAGCAATAGAAGAGTTAATAGAAGCAGAACAACAGGAAAATCAAAGAAAAGTAAAGGGTAATCAAGTAAATGAACAAGTATAAAATCAACACAAAAGGTAATTCAAGCAAACTAAGACATTTACATGCACAGAAGTTAAAAAGCCAGAAGTATTTAGCCATGACACTGCAAAAATATAATCATTCATATCATCACCATGCGACAAGAGACAGACAGACAGACAGACAGACAGACAGACAGACAGACAGACAGACACATCACACACACACACACACTCATACACACACACACACACACACGCACAAAAGGTATTGATAGGGCTGCACAATCATTGTAAACCTGGAAGCAAAGTAATCACTAGGTTTCAGTGTTTCACTTGTTCTGTCTATCTTCCTAATTGTATTTTTGTGTATGTTCCCTTGTCCATACCACCATCAAAAAATTGTATTTTCTATTATACAATTCAAGCATATTGAAATTAAAGTATTGTTTAACATCTTTAGACATGATAAACTATGCCAAATTATGCAAATTTTCTGTCAGAGAAAGGGAGCGGAAGAGGAAAGAATGAGAGAGTAGAGAGTCAGGACGCATGAGAGAGAGAGAGAGAGAGAGAGTAGAGAGAGCACGGAGAGAGGCAGAGAGCTCAGAGATGCACGAGAGACGAGCAGAAGAAAGAAGATATAGAGATACAGCAGACATAGCAGTCAAGGAAAGAGGAACGAGAGAGTATTAGAAGAGAAAGAGAACGAGGAGGAGAGAGAGAGCAGAGAGAGCAGAGAGGAAGGAGAGAGACGTAGACGTAGAGAGCAGAGCCAGACAGAAGTTAAGAGAACCACATTGAGGAGACGTATTTGGTGTACGAGAAACCCGAGAGACCGAGAAGAAAGAGAGAGAAGAGAGAGAGATGAGAGAGAGAGAAGAAGAGAAGAGAGAGAGAGAGAGACGCAGAGCAGAGAGAGAAGAGAGAGAGTAGAGACCGTAGAAGACGAGCCAGAGAGACGCAGAGACCAGAAGAGACAAACGGAGAGATAAAACGCAGAGAGAAAGAGAGACGTAGATTGCAGAAGAGAGTAGGATATTAGATATAGAAAGCAGGAAACGCAGATAAGAGATCAGAGAAAACAGATGTATGTCCTCTGATCCTGACGCAGTAGCCACGATGTAGTCAGTAATGGAGCGGTTTGGTGAGTAGAGAAGGAGAGAGAGAAGAGAACGAGAGAGAGAGGTATGTCAAGAGAGCGAGGAGTAGAGAGAGAGCAGAGAGAGAGAAAGAGACAAGAGATTAAGTAGTAATCATAGTAGACCACAGGGTTATGTTCATGGTCTAAGGAGCAGAGGTCGTAGAGGGACGAGAGAGATGAGTAGAGGTTAGAGTTAAGATGTAGAGGATAGGAGTCAGGAGAGGATGAGAGAGATGAACGACGCGCGAGCATGAGAGTGCATGAGAGATATGAGATGTTACGCACGCACCACGAGAGCAGAGAGGAGACAAGGAGTTAGAGAGAGAGAGAGAGAGCTCCGAGTAGCAGATGCGGACATGCTAAAGCAGAGGACGCAGAGGATATTATGCGCAGCAGACGCCGAGAGAGCTTATCGAGCGCGACGCATGAGTAGAGGAGCAGGAGAGGAGAGAGAGAGAAGAGAGAGAAGAGAGAGTAGAGGAGAGACTGAGAGTAGAGACGAGATGAGAGGAAAGAGAGAGCATGTTTGGGTGAGAGTACGAGATAGATGAGGGTAGTACTGACGCACGTAGCACGCATAGAAGGAGACAGACGCAGACGAGCATGACGCAGAGAGAGAGACCACGAGACTGAGAGACTCAAGGAGTAAGCATAGCATGACGACGATGGAGCAGAGAGTAGACACGTATATAAGATAAATAAAGATGAAAGTAATGAGAAAGAGTAAGTAAGTCAGTATATGAGATGAAGTAAAAGTATAAATGAAGAGTTATGGTCTCTGAAAGTAAGAGAAAGAGAGTAGCTGAGTATAATAGTCCGAAATATAAGTAAGAGAGAAGAGTCGACGCAAAGAGATGAGAAGAGTAAGAGAAAGTAAGAGAGAGAGTAGCGAAAAGAGAGAGATCGAATGATGTATTTGTGAATTGATTAAGACGATACGTATGTAACGTATAGATGAACAAAGATCGAGAGTAGATGCAGAGAAAGCAAGAAGGATATCATAGTATTAAGAACAGTATAAACAATGAGTCAAAATTTGATGTGACAAAATTCTCATCTATTAGTAGAAGAGGAAAGTGGAGGAGTGAGAGGTGAGTGGTGAATAGGAGAGTGGGATGGTTGAGAGAGGGAGAGTAGGTATCTTCTTTTTCATCTCGAGTAGAGGCGACGAGTAGGGAGAGAGATGAGAGTAGAAGTTATCACGATGAGTCAGAGTAGTGATGACTGAGAGATGAGAGAGAGTACGGAGTATACGAGAGAGAGAGATGAGAGAGATGAGAGTAGCAGATGAGAGAGAGACGTAGAGAGCACGAGAGAAAGATCAGAATAGAGAGATGAATAGACAGTAAAGAGAATGCTGAAGACTAGATAGAGAGAGTAGATAGTAGAAGAACAGAAAGTCTGAAGAGATGAGATAGAAAGTACAATGAGAAGATAAGATGACGAGAGAAGAGAGTCAGATAGTATTGAGATAGAGAGAGAGAGAGAGTACATGCTGATAAGAGTCATGCAGAGTAAAGTATGAGATAGTTTCTATAGAGAGAGAGTATAAGAGAAGAGAGAGATCTCATACATGCACTAATGATGAAGCATACATCAGTCAATGAAAGTCGTACTCTTTGATAAGTAACTAGTACGAGATAGATGAGAGTAAATTCACTAATAAGAGTAAGAGTAGTACGAGATAGACAGTAGAGAGAGTAGAGTAATAAAAACGATACACTATCGCCCAGCCGATGAGAGAGAAGAGCACACAGACCCGACCAGCCAGCAGGAGAGAGAGAGAGGAGAGAGAGAGATGAGAGAGAAAAGGGGAAGGAAAAGGGGGGAGGAAGGAGAGAGAGAGAGAGAGAGCACGCAGAGCACGAGCAAGAGAGACCAGAAGAGCCACGCCACAGAGAAGAGACAGAGAGAGACAGAGAGAGAGTGAGACAGAGAGAGAAGAGAGAGAGAGAGAGAGAGAGAGAGACGCCAGAGAGAGAAGAGAGGAGAAGAGAGAGAGAGAAGAGAGAAGAGAGAGAGAGAGAGGAGAGAGAGAGAGACAGAGCAGCACCCGCAACCCAGAGAGAGACAAGAGGAGATGACAGAGACAGAGAGAGACCACCGAGACAGAGAGCAGACGCACGACCAAACAGCAGAGAGACCCACACCACCGAGACACCGAGGAGAGACAGAGACAGAAACCGAACAAAGACGCGAAGCATGCGTGACAGTAGAGTACGAAAGAGTGCAGTCAGATACTCAGATGACGTAGCTAAAGAGTGAGAGAGACACCGCCTTAGATAAGAATAGTATATCGGTTAAGAGATGAGGCACACAGTAAGCATGATGGTATGGTGAAAGAGATGTGGGATATTGACAGAGAGAGATAAAGTAAGGAGATAGAAGTAACTACCTGAATTTAAGAGTATATCGAAAAGAGGTAAAGAGGTGTGTAAGTCATATCCACATCGTACATCTGAGAGTTAAAAAGTCAGGAGAGGAGACAGAGAAGAGATCACTATCGATGGTAAGTAGAAGACATCATGAAGAGATAGATAAAGAGGTATGAGATGCACAGAGAGAGAAATAGAGATGAGATGAGACAGAAAGAGTAGAATAGAGGAGGGAGAGACAGAGAGAAGAAAGAGCAGAGAACGAGATGCAGAGGAGACAATGAGGAGAGCGAGAAGGAGGAGAGTAACAGTAGGAGAGAGATTCGTATTCATCTCAAGGTGGTGCACTTGGATGGTTTCAAAAGTATAATCGACGTCGAGCTGGTCTAGGTTCGATCTCCGATTCTATTAGGTCATTTCGCAGTTACTGGAGATTACATTGTGCTTCACTCACTAAAGGCATCGTTTTGATGGTGCGAGCTGATACAGGTACTTAGGTCTTTGCCATTGGAGTGAGTTTCGCAACCCAAATTGTCGAATCGGGCTGCTAAAATGTGGCATTCGTTTGTGATATATCATTCATAATGTTAATAAGTCTCTTAAGCACCATCCCATGGCATTTCTTGAACATCACATCCACCCGCACATTGACCACAAGAAAGTCACTTAGTAGATTCTTGATGATCTTCCCTCTTAGTCCTTGAAAAACGCGGATAAAACACTTTTCTTTTTACTATCCTCCTGAATAACTGTCGACACCACTCTATCCTCGATCATCTAATATCAGCATCACCTCATTTATAATTTACTGGATATTTTACTACGACTAGTTACTTACAGGCACTAATGACAATACTAGAAATATTATCGAAATCACGAAAACAGAGTTCAACACACGTCTGCACGCACCGCGCATACATTGTTCATCGATCATTGGCCCTCAACTCCTGGCTCGCACAGTCCACTTGCTGGAAGCCACTTGCTATACTGTTCTAATTAAACAATTACCTTCAATTCATCTACTTACATAAACACATTGAGGTTACATATGGCATTTTGTACTCTTCGCTTGATCACATGCCTCTATTCTCTCGTCGGTGGATTAGGGTTACTAACTAGGTGAAATGTAATTATTTGGTTCTTTAATTTGTGGTGTGTGTTGTTTGTGGTGGTATTGTCTGTGTGTGTGTGGGTGTGTGTGGTGTGGTGGTGTGGTGATCGTGGTGTTTCTTGTTGTGTGTGTGTTGCTTTGTGTAGTGTGGTTGTGAGTCTGTCATATGTTTCCATCTTGAAGA